TTTTTTTTTTTTAAACATCTCATAATAGTTAGAGGTACATGCATGGGTTTTTATGCGCAAATTAGCATGGGCATGTGTTTCCATATAGGTGAATGTTGTGTATGTGTGCATTACACACTGATGAGCACTAAAGCAGTCTCATTATTTTGACAGCAGTGTTTGTGTGTGTTTGTGTGTGTGTGTGCGTGTGTGTGTGTGTGTGTTTTGATCTTGCAGATGGAGGTTCTGGTGCTGTGTGTGACTCTGATGGACATGCTCATCGCTGCGGTGCTCATATACTGGTTTTACAGAGAGAAGCGTGACCATAAACAGTGACGACGTGATCTAACAGTCCTCAGCTCAGCCTTTCTCACAAGCAACAGGAATAGAATTAAAGAACTAAAGAAAGCAGAAGTATTTTCAGTGAGTAAGAGCAGATTCTCCTCCCGCATGAAGCTGAAAACGGTCAAGATCCGCCGCGGGAATCACAAAAAAAAAATTGACTGAAGAGAGACGACGTGCTAAACGTGGATGATTTGACTTTAATGTGGCTTATTATCAAATAAAAATACATTTATTATTGTTTTGTTTATTGTATGAATGCAGAAGTGAAGCAGTAATGCTGCTTGCAGCTTTATGTGTTTGTGTTTTATTAGCTGTAAAGCTGGATATCATTTCTCTGTACATATTTTCACATTTATACATTGAATTAATGTAATACAAAATAATTCTTTTTGTATGTTACTTATGAATTTGAGTTAATAAACTGCACAATGCAATTCAATACAATTTTATTCAGAGATGTATTTTCAAAGTAAAAAGATGGACATCTGGATGATTTGGCTTTAATGTGATGTATTAGCAAATAAAAACACGTTGTTATTTGAGCTTTTTATTTCCTGTAAAGCTGTATATTATTTCTACATATTTTTTTTTTCAAAGTAAAAAGATGGTCTTACATCTGGATGATTTGATATGTCTTTTATAACCTTTTGTTAATTGTATACCTTGTATAATTTATTCAGAGATCGCCATGAAAATAGCCTTGATGCTGGCATGGCATTCAAAATGAATAAATAAATAAATAAATGAATAAATAAATTTATGAATAGAAAGTTTAAAAGAACAGCATTTATGTGAAATAGCAACCTTTTGTAACATCATAAATGCATTTACTTTACTAATTTAATGCACATATAAATTTATATTATATATTATAATTATAATGTAATTAATATAATTGTAAGTATAATACCAGTATTAGCATCCCTTCATTGGCTATTTCTTTCTAAAGCTACAATTTATAATGTCTACTTGATACTTTCTCATTTGACACAAAAATAGCTTTAAATAATCTTTTGTGGGTATTTTTATAGTCAAATTTATTTTGCGATTAATTAGATTAACACCATGTAATTAATTAGATTGAACATTTTAATCGGCTGATATATATATAATTTATTTTAATATAATTATTGAAAAATGTAAAGAAAAAAATAATAAAGAATATATATATACATACATATATATATATATATATATATATTAATCTAATTTATTTTAATATAATATAATCAGTCAAAATATTAAGAAAATGTAATAATAATTAATAATTATATGTGTGTGTGTGTGTGTGTGTGTGAGAGGAATGAATTAACCAAAAAAGGTGATTTAAAACGGGTACAGCTTTATTTGTTTATTGTGTTTAATTAGATGTAAAGCTGGATACTATTTCTTTTTACATATTTCCATCTTTATACATTGAATTAATGTAATTCAAAAGGACTTATTTCTGTATGTTACTTATGCATTTGAGTTGGGAACCATTTAAATAAATCACAAAATTCAATCTGATTTTATTTACTCTTTTATTTTTATTTTCATAGTAAAAAGTCGGACTCAATCCTTAATAAAAATGCAATCCTGTCTGGATTGTATTAGTAGTCCAGAACTCAAATCATTCAGCTATCTGTACAGTCAGAAATACTGAGTCAGATGTCGAGTGGTGAAGTCTCTGAAGTCTCCGAAGTCTCCGAATGAAAGAAGTAAAAGTAAAACACCTGAAATCATGTACATCTGTGACCTCGGTCCTGTAACGTACCAGCACTGCTGAGGAGCTTCTATTCTGCACTGCAGTCAGAATTCATATTCATCAGCGAGGCTCTGGACGATTATCAGTCTATGAAATGATGAAATGTCTCAGTGCATTTGATCTCCGTCTGTCCGAAAACAAACGCTGTCCAAACGCTGCTTTCCCGTCTCTCCGTCTCGATGGATTCACAGCTGCATTGAAAAACAAAAGAGAAGTTGATCTGCAAGTCACTGCTAATAGTTTGATGTGTATTAAAGGCCGTTCACACTGACAGTGATCATGAGTACCGCTGGTTGCATGATATATCAAAATAAAATTGATTTTGAAATAAGGATTAATGCAACAGTCAAATTGTGTCCATTTACATTTATTCATTTAGCCAAAGAAGAACCAAAGCCGACAATAATCCTTATATACAATGCTAAATTATTTATTAGACAACTAGATTTACCCACATGCATGCATTTTCCAACGTACAATTGTATTATTTTTATTACTCATTTTTTATTTTAAAATAATAGCATTATTGCAATAGGTTTCTTATTTTAATATTTTTAATAATAATCACAAAGAGATTTGATTTTGTTTCAACATTTTTTTTATATATATTTTTTATATTTTAAAAATCTTTTTAACTTTTAATTTTCTTCTTAAAGTTATTTTTATTCTCTATGCAGATGCACAAAGAAATTTGCCTCTCTCATTCTAGAATGATTAATTCTTTCCAAATATAGCTATTTAAAAATCAATATTGTCAATATTGTAAGTCAAACTAAAAATCCTGTATTTCTCATATCACAAATAATGCAGAAAAACTCAAATTCCTGTATTTTTCATATCGCAAATACTGCAGAAAAACTAAAATTCCTGTATTTTTTCATATCGCAAATACTGCAGAAAAGCAAAAGTTCCTGTATTTTTTCATATCGCAAATACTGCAGAAAAACAAAAAATCCTGTATTTTTTCATATTGCAAATAGCAGAAAAACAAAAATTCCTGTATTTTTTTCATATCGCAAATACTGCAGAAAAACAAAAATTCCTGTATTTTTTCATATCGCAAATATTGCAGAAAAACAAAAAGTCCTGTATTTTTCATATCGCAAATATTGCAGAAAAACAAAAATCATGTATTTGTTCATATCGCAAATACAGCAGAAAAGCAAAAATTCCTGTATTTTTTCATATAGCAAATACAGCAGAAAAGCAAAAATTCCTGTATTTTTTCATATCGCAAATATTGCAGAAAAACAAAATCATGTATTTTTTCATATATCGCAAATACAGCAGAAAAGCAAAAATTCGTGTATTTTTTCATATCGCAAATACTGCAGAAAAACAAAAATTCCTGTATAGTTTCATATCGCAAATATTGCAGAAAAGCAAAAATTCTTGTATTTTTTCATATCGCAAATACTGCAGAAAAACAAAAATTCCTGTATTTTTTTCATATCACAAATACAGCAGAAAGCAAAAATCCTGTATTTTTCATATCGCAAATACAGCAGAAAAGCAAAAATTCCTGTATTTTTCATATTGCAAATATTGCAGAAAAGCAAAAATTCCTATATTTTTTCATATCGTAAATACGGCAGAAAAACTATAAATCCTGTATTTTTCATATCACAAATATTGTAGAAAAACAAAAAATCCTGTATTTTTCATATCGCAAATACTGCAGAAAAGCACAAATTCCTGTATTTTTTCATATCGCAAATACTGCAGAAAAACGATAACTCCTGTGTTTTCATATCGTAAATACTGTAGAAAAACTATAAATTTTGTATTTTCATATCGCAAATATAGTACAAAAACAAAAATTCCTGTATTTTTGCATATCACAATGCCAGTTTTTTTTACAATATCGTGCAACCTTAGTTTCTGCTCAGTGTAATTTAAAGTCGTCTGATGCATCATCAAAAATCGCTCGCACATCGTCAGCTGTCACTGCAAATAAAAGACTTCCTTTTGCTTTGATGCTGTGAATCGCTGTCAGTGTGAACGCATCTTTGCATGGAATCGCATAGCTCATTCAGTCTACACGAATAAGTTCGCTGCTTGATTTCACAGCATTTATGCAACTGTTTATCAGCATTTCAACTCGTTTATCTCAAAAAGCATTTAAATTTTTGTCAAAACTTGACACAAATAAGGCTCGACACACAGGATCTTCAACATGCATTGCAGTGCATGTGATTCGCAGGGGAACGGATGGTTATTTTCAATATAAAGTGCATGCATCGCATGTGTGACATGACAATGACGTCAACTCATTCCTCAGTGAGCATCAGTAATGCAAAACCATTGCTTCAGCCTCAAAAGGACGATATTGCAGCTTAAGCAACAGACATTTTTTTTTGATAAACTAAAACAACTAAAAAAGAGCTTTACTAAAAACATGAACTGCATGTAAATGCATGTAGATTTCCACTGTAAATGCATTACTGTGAACGCGCTTCAGCACATTCAGACTCCCTGAGGATGAGGTTACTGTCACATTAAGCTCAGAATAACCCCGAATATTGATCACCAGGAGGACCCTTGAAGCCCAACACACACATGCAGCGCGACACAAAGGGATTCTCTGACAGAAACATTCAGACCAGCGTCAGTCTCAAGCGTTATCAGGAAACACAGTTACTTACTGATCTGAAGCGTTTGATTCAGACCAGAGTTGAGAGGCCTAACAGACCTGAAGTCTTGCTCTGGTAAAACAAACACGTCAGACGAAACTAACGTTAGATAAACTACAAGAGGAAGAAACGGTGCAGAACCAGTTACACGTCTAAACACTTTGCTTAAATCACTCAGCATGAACGACAGTAATAGTGATGCTTGACACAAAATATTTAGGCCTAAAGATTTATGTATTTGAATTGCATATAACATTTCCATGCATTTGGATTACACAGTTTTAACATAAACTTATAAATTGAATGTGATGCATATTTGTCAATCATACAGAAATGAAACTGGTCAGATTATTGAATAAATAAGCAAATAAATAAATAAAATCATGGCATAGATTATTATGAACTCTTTGAATCTATTTAATTTGTTTAAATCATTTAATTTTATTTATTTTAAATTATTAATAAATTAATAAATTATTATTAAATAATATTAAACCTTGAATAATAAACAATATAATAATAACAAGCAAAAGTGAATTAACATTAATATATAATTAAAAATAAATGAAAGAAGAAACTGAAAGAATAAAAAAATGTGGTTAAAGAGAAATAAAGAAAATAACAAATAAAGGGAGAAAGGTAACAAACAAATAAATTCAGGACTAAATGTAATTAAAAAAAGAATTGTATTTGTTTTAGCAAGTCATTTATTTCCCTATTAAATTTATTTATCCCTTCCTTCCTTTAATTCCCTATTAATTCCTTCCTTCCTTAATTTATTTCCCTATTAAATTTATTTATCCCTTCCTTCCTTTAATTCCCTATTAATTCCTTCCTTCCTTAATTTATTTCCCTATTATTCATTCATTTGTTTATTCATTTATTCCTTCTTTTATTCCTTCATTTTTAACTTCTGCAGGTTTGGTCCTCCATACAAACCTGTTCATTGTGAAAACAACTAAATTTATTAAAATAAAAAGTATGCACATGGTTAAAAAAATATGTCTCGCTGTAGAGCAAAATGTTTCAGATTCAAACACACTGGATTTATTGATTGATAAATATATAAAGGTCAAGGTAATATTTATTGTCTCCCTTTTTTTAATTTGTTTTAGATAAAAGAACTGCTGCAACATCAACACAGAACAAGCCTGTAACATACAACATACAACAACCGTCCTAATTCTATAATCCTACATCATCAAAACAATCCCATTTAAATCATATTAACACATGCGAAGAGTCCAGTGAAATCTTGTTGGCCTGCTGGATCGTACACAACTCAAAAATGTCTTGTAAAGAACTGAGTGTGTCTGTATCTCCTTTATTTTTCCCGCCACTCTCATTCAGCTCCCAAACCAAGCAATAATTCCATATCTTAAGACAGACTCTATCATTGCTTTTTAAATAATTAGCATTGATATGCATCACATGAAGTTTATTATTTGTTAAAACTGTGTAATCTGAATGGATAGAAATAGTTTTTTCTCTCGATGTAAGGGAGGATCTTTTATATTATTTCAGTAATCTTTTCTTGAGCGTGTGTGTTCGCTCAGTGAGACTCTCACCGCTGTGATGAACTCCTGCTCTTTGTGGTAGAGGACGGAGGACGTGACGTTAGGAGGAGACGGGGACGGTGTGGACCGATACGAGCCTCTGTCGCTGGTGTAGCTCTCCATCACTAACGCAGGATGATGCTGGACGCTCACGCCGTCACTGGAGGTGCACTGAGACGAGCTGTCAGCGCCGTCACTCACTGCAGACGCACAACACTTCCTTACTCAGCAACGCAGAATTCAATCATAACACCTAGTCCTATCATGCAAATATATATATATATATACATATACATATATACAGATATTATTTGTTTATTTATAAAAAACAATGATGATTTTATTCAGTAAGGATGCATTACATTTATCAAAAGTGACAGTAATTTATTTATTTACAGTAATTTACTTTCTTAATTAATTTTTTTTTAAATTAATACTTTTATGCAATAAGGACGCATTAAATTGATCAAAAGTGGCAGCATGTTTTTTATTTACAGTAATTAACTTTCTTAATGTATTTATTTAAAAAAATAATACTTTTATCCAATGAGGACACAATACATTTATTAAAAGTGGCAGCATTTTTTTAATTTATAGTAATTAACTTTATTAATTTATTTATTACAAATATTAATACTTTTATTCAATAAGGACTCTTTAAATTGATCAAAAGTGGCAGCATGTTTTTTTATTTACAGTAATTAACTTTATTAATTAATTACTTAATTAAAAATATTTATTCAGTAAGAATGCATTCATTAAATTGATCAAAAGTGACAGCAATTTGTTTATTTACAGTAATTTACTTTCTTAATTTATTTATTTAAAAAATAATACTTTTATCCAATGAGGACACATTAAATTTATTAAAAGTGACAGCATTTTTTTATTTACAGTAATTAACTTCATTAATTAATTAATTAAAAATATTAATACTTTTATCCAATAAGAACACTTTAAATTGATCAAAAGTGACAGCAATTTTTTATTTATAGTAATTAACTTTATTAATTAATTAATTTGTTTATTAAAAATATTAATACTTTTATTCAGCAAGGACACATTAAACTGATTAAAAGTGACAGCAATTTGTTTGTTTACAGTAATTTATATTATTTATTTTTTATTTAAAAAATTATACTTTTATTCAGTAAGGACGCATTAAATTGATCAAAAGTGGCAGCATTTTTTATTTACAGTAATTAACTTAATTAATTCATTAAAAATATTAATACTTTTATTCAGCAAGGACGCATTAAACTGATTAAAAGTGACAGTAGTTTGTTTATTTACAGTAATTTATATTATTTGTTCATTTATTTTAAAAATATTAAAACTTTTATACAGCAAGGACGCATTAAATTGATCAACAGTGACAGTAATTCATAAAATAAATAAATATTCATATAAATATAAAATGATATTAAATAAGATATTCGTCAGCATGACTGTTTTCAACATTGATAATAATCAGAAATGTTTCTCGAGCAGCAAAGCAGCATATTAGAATGATTTCTGAAGATCATGTGACACTTTTAAAACATTAAAATAGAAAACTGATATTTGTAATTAATATTTCACAATATAACCGCCTTTACTGTATTTTTGATCAGATAAATGCAGCTATGGTGAGTATAATCACAGCAAGTATGATTTCAAGTAGAGTTAATAATAGAATTATCAGAAATATTGTAGTTTTTCAGTCCGGAACAGGAAGAGGAACTGAACAGAATCTTGTGTTATAATAACTGAAGGATTGGATCTAGTATTAGTGTCATACAGACTATCTTTGTCTTCGTCGGTGTATCTTTAAGCTGCCCAGTGAAACCACACACCTTCAGCACCTCTGCTCTGAGTTTCCACTGGGCTCCAGTCAACAAAACAAACACCAGCAGAGTGAGAGGGGCCCATTTCCTGTTTCGCACTTCCTGTCTTAACAGCTGCTGTTCATGTACACCTTCTGCCCACCACAGACTCTATTATCAGATGACACATGCTGATAGATCTTGACGAATTTAGACCGTAGATGAACTCGACTAACTAATTATGAAGAACCACAGAAGTTCTTGCAGAGTGAAACTTTCCAAACAAGTATATATATATATATATGTGTGTGTGTGTGTGTGTGTTTCTAATGTTGTTGAAAGAGTCTCTTCTGCTCATCAAGGCTGCATATATTTGATCAAAAATACAGTAAAAAATGTGAAATATTATTAGAATCTAAAACAGCTGTTTTCTATGTGAATATATATTAAAATGTAATTTATTTCTGTGATCAAAGCTGTATTTTCAGCATCATTACTCCAGTCTTCAGTGTCACATGATCTTCAGAAATCATAATAATATGCTGATTTGCTGCTCAATTATTATAAATTATAAATGATGCTCAAATATTAATAATGGTCCTTATTATTATCATGTTTTTACATCACATTGTAAAGTATCCGTACCTTTAGGAGGAAAATGTACTTAAATTGACATAAAAAATAATGCCAAAAATCTTATCATTGGAAAAAAAAAAAATATCCCCAAAATTATATATATATTCTAAATTCTACATATTTATTACATTTTAAGCCCAATTTGTACATTTATGACCAGTTAGGTAATTGTAGATTTTACACTAATTAAATAATGCCAATATATTCAAATAGTACTTATCAACATTTTGGTACTATATTTTATTTGAAGGGATAATTTGATGTTTATGCACAAAATATGTGTTCTTTGCTCCCCAACCAAATGAAAACATAAAAAATGAATTACACAGGAATAAATTACATTATGATTGTTTTCACGAGGACACGCGTCTATAGCTACAGATTTGTTTTTAGAAAGAACTCACCAAGCTCTGCTCACCAAGGCTGCATTTATTTGATTAAAAATACAGTACAAATTGTGAAATATTATTTTAATGTAAAATAGCTGTTTTCTATGTGAATATGTGTTAACATGTAATTGATTTCTGTGATCTTTCAGCATCATTCCTCCAGTCTTCAGTGTGACATGACTCACTCGTGGAGGACTGGACAGTGGAGTCGTGCTCGAGCTCGTCCTCCTCGATGCAGTCGTAGGGCCAGTGGCTCAGAGACGGATGAGACGGATGGAGGTGCAGGTTCAGAGAGGACGAGGACTGGCTGCTGGACGAGGACGAGCTGCTGTTGGAGATGGTGGAGTGCGGTCTCTTAAACGGCGTGGAGTGATCGAACGAGGACACCGCGATGGACGCCCGCATCCGCGACTCTGCAGAGACCAAAGATGGACAAAAATCACATGAACACATGAATTCAGCTGCAGGAGTGAATCAGTGAAACAATGAAGATGTGATGAACTGTAGAAGCTTCCAGTGTTGTTACTGTGTATAACTAAAACTGTTGAAGAACCAACCTTTTTCATGAATTGGAATAAAGCTCTTTATGTCAACACATAGTTAAATATTCATAAAGTTAAAAAGCAAAAAAATCGGAATATGTTGGAAGAAATAATATTGTTTTGTTTGGTATATAGTTAGGCATAGTGCCATAAATTCAATGCTGTTTATTCAAATAAATAAATACATACATACATACATATAGAAAGAAAGAAAGAAAGAAAGAAAGAAAGAAAGAAGCTGAATTAAAATATTAAAATTAGAAGAGAAACTTAAACTTAAAAATCTTAAACAAAAATTATAAATGTTGCTTTGGCAACCAACTGAAATAAAATAGGAATGATAATAGTACAATAGATTAAAAATCATGAGAAAAATATTGTCCTTTCTTAAAAATAAGACATTTTAATATAAAAAATAATATTTATATCATTATACATATGTTTAATATATAACATAATATAAATTAAACAAATAAATAATAATAATAATAATAAATAAATAATAATAAAGTAATAGAATTTATATATATATATATTTTCCCCCTCCATATTTCATATTTTTATATATACTTATATTTATGTATATTTATTTTAATGGGAATTTGTACACACTTATAACCAGTTACTTAACTGTAGATTTTGCCCTAAATAAATTGATACTGTGTTGTTTATATATATATATATATATATAATTTTCATATTTAATATATTTATATATACTTTATATTTATGTTTACATTTTAATGGGAATTTTAACATTTATGACCAGTTACTTAACTGTAGATTTTGCCCTAAATAAATAATATTTCTATTAATATTTTGATACTGTGTTGTTTCTGTATTTCACAATCTCATTTCAGGACAATTTCCACATTAAAAAATGTGCATAGATGATTTGATGTTCATGCACAGAATATGCACCGAATGAACGTAACAAATGAAGAGAGTGTTTGTGTTTTGATGTGTGTGAAACGCACATCGGCTGTGTGTGTGTCTGTGACTGCGCTCTGTCAATCTACACAAAGACATCAATTCATTTGATGCTTTATTTTCAAAAGCTTCTAATGCCTAACGCCTGTTTCACACACACACACACACACACACGCGTCTGCAGTTCATGTGCGGTGCAGAAGCAGCAGGGGCTCACTGTGCTTCACATAAGTGTGTTTGCAGGGCACTGATACCACAAATACAAAAACACCTCCATCTATACCTTATTTTGACCTCAAATCCAAACGTGCTTAAAGTTAATGAACACACACCGCATACACTCTGTGTGAAACAGGCGTGGACGAGTCACTCACACACACACACTCACACACACGCACACACACACACACACACACACACTCACACTCACACACACACGCACACACTGCGTTTAATAAATATTAAAAATATCAAACTGCGTTTAATAAATATTTCAGACTGTGTGTCTGTGTCTTCTGTCCATTAGGTTTAGGGTAAATGAATTACTGATAAATAGAATAAAAATATATTATACATATTATATTACACATTAAATATATTATATATAATAATATAAATAACTATTAATAAGTTAAGTTTATGATTAAGTTTATCATTTTTGTTCTTTTTTATATTTGTATTTAATATTATTTTTATTTCG